ACACACACACACACACACTCCCGCCTGTTCACATTGTTCACTCATCCAAACAGACAAATAAAAAATTCATATTCACACACTGCATACACCTTACCCAAAGGTTTAAAATCATATAATACAGGTCGACAATTTGTAAGTTGTAGAGCATTTTCCAAGCCCCATAAAGACAATAATTATGAGGAAATAACTAAAATGTCTGCTCATACTTAGTAAGTTAAACTATCAAATAAGCCATTTATCATTCCAGTGTTTGCCATCTAGTTTGGAAATCTAACAGCCTCCTCTAAGTATCATGTCCAGGGAGGTGCAAGAGATGAAAACAACACAAACAAAACCATTCAAGTATTTAAACCATTTTGGCCAACAACAAAAAAACTAATGCAAGGGGCTTTCAAGGTTATTGCTCAATTGGGAAGGGGAACTTTAAAAATAAATAGCAAAGTTTACATTGTCCTTATTTTTACCATGTTCTTAAGTGTGAGATTGCACACGTGACATATTTTCACATTCTAATACCCTACATATGTTAGAAAGGCATAATTGTGAAATGATAACAATAACACAGTATCTGATGTGCAAAAAGACTGGGTTTGATTTTTTACAATGTCGCTGCAGTAAATGAGTAATTTTCCTAGCTTAACATTTTCCACAATATTAATTTGGTAAAAGGATGATATTACATTTATAAAATGTAAGAAATGTAATATCATGCAAGAGAAAAACTACTTGCTTTGCATTTTATGGAATGGAAAAGGTGAAAGAGTATGTGAAACACTTTTTTTCAGTGAGCTGTGTGGTTATGTGATGAGCATAAAATGAGCAAATCAATTAAATTAACTTTGACAACAATAAAAGAGTCATGCAGTCTTTAATTAATTATTCCCTCCAACCAAGTTAAGAGATAAGAGAAAAAAAGGAAAATATCACAGGGAACTGATGAGAAATCAAAATAAACCCTGTCAAAACCCTAATGGGAGGATCAGAATTAGTTTTAGCTTTGAATCTGATTGATTGTGAAAGTGGCCCAAATTTCTGGACCAATTACACAGAGGGTTAGAGCAAAACCAAAGCTATTCCCAATTACTTTCAACAGCTAATTGAAAATTGCTCTAATCACTGTATATTAAGTAAACAAGAAAAAAGACTGCGACTGCTCAGTTTGATCTTTTGAGTACTGTCACCTTACTCAGTTTTTTTGTTTGTAAACTTTATGCTGTAAACAAGTTGTTTGAATGGTGCCACTATGGTTCTTGACGTCTTTTGAGAGGAATGTGTTCTTGAAAGTTGGTAGGTCAGCTTTCCAAAGATAATTGTACTCTCTGCTCGCTAAAGAGGGTATAACATTAAGATCTTTCTGATAACTAATCAAAACTGTCCAATGACATTTATCTGCTGTTACAAATGTAAGTTTTCCTTTTAATATGTAGTGATCAGTTCAACTCTTGAAATTTAATTAACCTTAATGCTGAGAATTAATTTCTAGATTTCAGTATTTAATTTACCTTTTTTTTTATAATGTTATATGTGTGGGTGGTGCACTGAATAAAATCACTTTTGAAGTTAACCTTCTGAGAAACAGCATTATGTTAGGGGTTGAAAAATCCAATGGATTGGCCAAGAGCATTATTGCTTTGTGAGCACAAAAATAAATCAAGCTGTGGTCTTTAGTATAATCATCCCTACATAGCTGGTGCTCTTATGTCTGTTTCATTTTTGCTGATTTTTTTTAACTTCACCCAAAAAGAACTTCAGACCTCTGGGAGTGAGGGGCACAAAAAGTAGGGCTGTTCTGTTTTCATCTGCCACACACCAAAAGTTATAAACAAATAATAATTATCTGCTTGTTGATATCGATTTTCTCTTGAAGTGTTCAACCCGATGCAGTTAGACTTGTATTAAGCAGCACTGTAAATTAAGCAGTGACATCCTGTATCAAGCAGTCAGTTGTGTTTAAACGATTGTAGTTTTCACCTCTATTTATTATAAATGTAGACATGGTCACCTTTGAGTGAGTACCAATGACCTGTTTGTATTGTTGAACAGGTTTTTTGTACAGTTAGAGATCAATTGTGACTTTAAGTGGCTAACTATATACCATAAAATGGCACTTTTTCAGTATTTATATATATATTGCCCCTATTCTGTGAAACACATACAAATTGGTCAACCTGTTTTCAGTGGTCATTCTGTATTTCACAGTCATCCTGCCATACCGTGTCTGTGACCGCTTAATACAGGTTCAATTGTATCTCACAAGTTTGCTGCGCTCACTCATGAGCTATCGAGTTGAATGCTCAAAGAGAAATTTCATAGCGGCTTGCACCAATGTATCATTCCCTGTACATGACTACTGTGAGGTAATTTGGGGTAACATACCTCTCAAGGATTGTCTTATTTTTTTCAATTATTAAGGGGTCAATCCTAAGTTGAAGCTCTTCAACATAATTTTTTTGTTTACCACACATGGCATCTTTTGCTTTTTTGCAGTCTTTAAATGGTAGTAAGGAAACTTGGGTAAATAACTACTGAAAAGTAAAGTATATCATTAAAAAATAACAAATAATTAGATGTGTCATGCACAACAACATTAATGGTCATTTAAAAACATCAAGACAAATTGATTGGATAAATTTGCTGGAAGGGACGTTGAGGCTTTTTGTAAAGTCTACTTACATTTAAAAGCTAGACTCTAAGGACATAACTGGATAACTATGTGTAACAGTTGTGGTGAGCTGCTTTTAACCCTTTAAATCACAGCAGTGACCAAGATAGATTCTCTCCTTACAATAGCAACACAATATAAAGCAAACAAGTGATAAGGAAGGAGAAAAATATCAACTTGAGGATCATTAGTTGATCCAAAACCAAATTCTCCAAACTTCCATCAAGAGAATTGTATAGCAGACAGTAAGGAGAATTACTAAAGAGATCTTGGGGTGAGAGGGTGAAGTCAGCTGCACTTTTCAGCTTACCTAGGACTTGCACTTGAATTGCACGTTTCCAACGTTCATTACTGAGGGTAAGTACCTCACAGGTGAATTCTCCATTAGCCTTATCATCAGCAAAAATGACGCGAGAGATAGACAGAGCAGCGGTTTGTTTGGTCGAACTTAATACGCTCAACCGTCCAGTAAAATTAGCAGAAACATCACCAGCTTTTCCATCTGACCGAATAGTGACTACAGTAGCACCTTTAAATTTTATGAAAGTGAAACCAATATTTGATGTCAGACTGAAGTTCCACTGCAGCACAGCAGAAGATCCTTCATAAACCTGTAACCTGCCAGGGGGGAGAACTTCATTTTGATTCGATGTTGTCTTGGCCGGAGTGGGTTCATACCATGTGACACTTCCGCCATCTGGAAGAGAATATTTTCGATTGCAGTTTTATAACGATTTAATTATGCTTGCGATTTCATTAAAACAAGAATACAGTAGCTTTCCTCTGATTTTTTAATTAAAACACCTCAAACATTCTAAAGGGCACAACAATCTGCTGCTGTCAAAATCATCTAAATAGATTACATGATAAGATGAACCGGTTTCTAAGACAAAAGAAGAAAGTAACCACCCAAAACATTGGAAAAACTACTTGTTAATTGGGATACCTGTGAGTTGAGGTACGAGGGAAATCCACACAAAGATAATTTTCAAATGGCAAATCATTTTAAAAACGTCCTTGATGCCCAACGATGAATACGCTTAGCCTAATGAACACACCATCGCTTTATCGAGCGATGGAGAAAGTACATATTCCTAACGAAAGAAGATGGAACTAACACAAGTGCTGATTGGCTATTCAATAGTGATGGTTTAAAACAGAGGTTCTGATTGGTTTAGAACTAACAGCACTAACTATGGAAGGCCCCAAAAGCGGAAAGATTCTTGGGGTTTATGCTGTGTAATTTACATTCAGTTTTGGCGAAGAAGATTTGTAGGCGTTTATGCAAATATGTTTTCAGACTTCTTGTTTCAAATCCTGTTTATTTTCTCGTTGATAATTGTCTGGATCGTGAATAACCAAACTCTTGGCGTGGCAACAGCCTACAGGTCCAATTCGTATATAGATTTAGCCAAGCCTAAAAGCGGAGCTCCAGTAAATTATTTTCTAGGCCCTCACTTTATTAAAAATGCTCAGCACTGGCTGTCGAAGAAGTTATTTAGGGGACCAAGGATCAGTCTGCGTGGGAGAGGGGAGGGAGGAATTGAAGGAGTCTGGGGCCGAGGTACAATGTTCCCACACAACACGATATCCCCCTAAAAATTAACGCATGGAGTATGGGTGTAGCGTTGCAGTTGTGTCTTCCGTTGCAGTTATGTCCTCACAACTAATAACCAATAGAATGCGGTTTATTTCTTCCAATCAAAAGGCGTTGTGAACGTGTCTTGTGCTTGTCACTTCCCAACTAGGGGAGGGATGCAAAGCAAAATTGTAAGAAGATCGTTAAGATTTCCGCGCTCGAAGGTTAAGAATTTCACGGGATATCCATGTTTTGTGAGCTATCCTTGGTGTCCTTTGGGACACTTCGGATTGGTAAAAGATTAAGATTCTGGTTGCGTTTTTAAGTGCGTATTATTGGCGAAATTTTCTTCGATACGTTGGAAAGCTTAGGAAGACGAAAATTTGACGTTGCCTCGAGGCTTCCCGTATTAGTTTGGAGTGCGTTGGTGATCGAAGTTGTGCTTTTCTGTCGGAACGAGTATGGTAAGGTAAGGTTTCGGTTTCACTTCATGCTAGTATTTTTGTTAAATTTAAATATTACAACCATTCTTCAAAGATCGCGTTCAAGTTTCGGGCTAAATACTGTAGATTTCGTGCGGCTGCATGATAAAGCGTCCCAGTAACTACTAACCTGGATTCATTGAATCCTTCTGTGTCGAAGGGTGATTTCTTTTTTTATTATTTTGCTTGGGACATGCAAAACTAAAAAACGAGACAGATCTCGGTGTTTCAATGACCGAAAATTTGTGATTTTCTTACAGCCTCATAATTTTACTACGCAAAAATTCAACCTCTGGTATGGTTGATGTCAAACATCACATATCCTGGAAAGTTATAACTCACAAACTGCTGACACGTATGATGAAGATCTGGTATCTTTTATAAAGGATAGGGTGCTCTCTCCCATGCCCTCCAGCAAGAAACAGTTGGGTTATCATTCTCTTCGCTCGCTCAGAATGGGACAGATTTGCAGCAAAATTACTCTTCACTTAATAATGTGCTTTTCCATTTAAATCAATGGCTGACATATGCCACTTTCTTTCTTTTGATCTATTTAGAATAAAGCCCTTTCAACTAAATCATAAGGAATATGATAGTAATATGTATGTTATATGTTACCAGCCTTTACATACTTTCTCAACTGTTTCAAATATTGAAATGAAATAAAAACTAATTCATGCACAAATGAAGACTTAATTCAGTAGACACTATTGCCTATTATTAGCAATTATTGCTCCAACATCTGTTAGCAAGAACTTGGTCTTGTTGGCTTTCATTGAGAGCATTTGGTGATCCATACATTAGTGGAGACTTTCTCTGCAACTATCTTTGCAAAGAAAATACTAATCTTTTCACCCTTACTTAATTTCATTCATGCAGGCATGGATGAGAACCAGCAGCAAAGCAAAGTAAACGAAAGTGCCAATGAGGTGGTAAGTATGAAGGTAGATCCTGGAAAAAATGTTCGTTTCGTTGTTTCGTTATGGTGTTTCGTCGTTTCATTATGGCATTTCGTTATGTCAAGTCGTTGTTTTCCGAGTTCGACTCGTTGAACTTCCAGTTGGTCTCGTCGTACTGTCAGTTCGATTCCTCAGCAGGCCTCTTCGACTCGTTGTTTTACGAGTCTGCCAACTCGTCACCGACCACATCGGTTCGTCATTTCATCATGGCGTTTCGTTATGTCGTTTCGTTGTTTCGTCATGTCGTTTCGACTTGTCCACTCAAGAGGAGCTATAATTCAACCTAAATTACATGAAACGTTCACTTGCTTCCATACACTCTTATTTGAAGCAATAATGTGGTATCTATTATTTGTCCTCTGCCGAAGGAAATGGATCTTTTGAAGAGCTACTTACGGCACAGCATAAAATTCGTCTTGAGTCGAGTGAATGACCATTTCCATGAAAGTGACAATGGAATTGGATATCTAATAACACACCTCGACAAAGTCTTGTATATCTTAGTTCGGGAATCTTCGTTATTTGACATTCCTCCTCAGCTGGAGTG